TGCAACATTTAAACTGAAAAAAATTTCTAACTCACTGTAAAGACACAGGAAAGCAATTTTATGAAGTCCCATTTGTCAATTCTTGATCTTAGAGCATATGCCATTGGTGTTCTGTTCAGGAACTTTTCCCCTGTGCCCAAGTATTCGAGGGTCTTCCCCACCTTCTCTTCTATTAGTTTCAATGTATCTGGTTTTATGTGGAGGTCCTTTATCCACTTAGACTTGAGCTTTGTACAAGGAGATAAGAATGGATCAATTTTCATTCTTCTACATGTTGTCCTCCAGTTGAACCAGCAAAATTGCAAAGTTTCTGTAAGGCAAAGGACACTGTCAATAGGACAAAACGACAACCAACAAATTGGGAAAAGATCTTTACCAATCCTACATCTGATAGAGGGCTAATATCAAATATATACAAAGAACTCAAGAAATTAGACTCCAGACAACCAAATTACCCTATTAAAAAATGGGGTATAGAGCTTAACAAAGAATTTTCAATGGAAGAAACTCGAATGGCCGAGAAGCACCTAAAGAAATGTTCAGCATCCTTAGTCATCAGGGAAATGCAAATCAAAACAACCCTGAGATTCCATCTCACACCAGTCAGAATGGCTAAGATTAAGAACTCAGGTGATAGTAGATGCTGGCGAGGGTGTGGAGAAAGAGGAACACTCCTCCATTGTTGGTGGGACTGCAAGATGGTGCAACCACTTTGGAAATCAGTGTGGCGGTTCCTCAGAAAATTGGACATAGCATTACCTGAGGATCCAGCTATACCACTCCTAGGCATATACCCAGAAGATGCTCGAACATATAACAAGGACATATGCTCAACTATGTTCATAGCAGCCTTATTTATAATAGCCAGGAGCTGGAGAGAACCCAGATGTCCTTCAACTGAGGAATGGATTCAAAAAATGTGGTATATTTACACAATGGAGTATTACTCAGCTATTAAAAACAATGAATTCGAGAGGTTCCTAGGTAAATGGATAGAACTAGAAATTATCATTCTAAGTGAAGTAAACCAATCACAAAAGAACACACATGGTATTCACTCACTGATTATTGGATATTAGCCCAGAACCTTGAAATGCCCAAGACGCAACTCACAGGCCACATGAAGCTCATAAAAAAGGAAGACCAAGTGGGGGTGATTTGGTCCTTCTTAGAAGGAACAACAAAATACTCAAGGGAGCAAATATGGAGACAAAGTGAGGGACAGAAACTGAAGGAGGGGCCATTTGAAGACCTTTCCACCTGAGTATCCACCCCATGTGCAGTCACCAAAGGTAGATGCTGATGTGGAAGTCAGGAAGTGCATGCTGATAAGAGCCTCATATGGATGTTTCCTCAGAGGTCTTCAAGAGTCTGACATATTCAGAGGCAGATGCTCACAACTAGCCATTGAACTGATCATGAGGTTCTCAATGGAGGAGTTAGAGTGAGGACTGAAGGAGCTGAAAGGGTTTGTGGCACCATGAGGAGAGCAGCAATACCAACCAACCACAGCTCCCAGGGTCCTAACCACCAGCCTGGGAGCACTTATGGAGGGATCCAGGGCTTCAACTGAATATGTAAGAGTGGAGGGCCCTGCCGGGCACAGGTGGAAGAAGAGATCCTTGACCTCATGAAGGCTGGACGCCCAAGAGGGTGGGAATTTTGAGGGTGGGGAAGTGGGAGTGGGGGGGTAGGTGGGGGTTACATCCACGGAGAAGAAGGAGGAGGGGTAAGGGGATGGGGGGTTCCCGGGTGGGTGGGGGATGGGGTAAAGGGATAACATATGAAATGTAAATAAAATATCCAATAAAAACAAAAGGAAAAAAAAGACACAGGAAAGCTTGAGTCACTGTTGATGAACAATGCAGCATTTCAAAGGAAATGAGTATGAATCATCAATGTGTAAACACAGTCGCCCCCAGAATATGTAGGCAGGCACCAGTAATTTATACAGTTCTCTGATTAATAGGAATTAGATTCATGTTAGTCATAAGTCAGCTCAATTAGATGTTGTTTAATCCGTTGCCTTGTTTAAAGTTTGTGTAGAGAGGACAGTGTAGTTTAACTGATTTCTCTATCAAACAGATTTAGCATTTTATGATATAATATATTGCAAAGATTGATATGTCACACACGTCAAGTATTCCTTGTAAGCCAACCACCAGTAAAAAGATATCTTTAATTATAGTGTGCAATGTATCAGTTCTCATGAAACCCACAATTAGTAGGGTTTTCTGTTTTGGTTTTGTTGTTGTTATTGTTTTGTATAATTACTCATGCAGGGGGTCTGGATTCACTTCTCCTCTCAGTTCTAGGACCCCATGTAGTATAGACTGCTGCAGATTCCATGTGGCCTCAGTCTTTGTTATTTCATTAGAACTTTGATCATATTGATTTAGGGGTCTGTGTGTCTTTGGTATCCTCCATTCCCTCTTGCTCTTCCACTCTTTCCACCTCCACTTCTGATGGGTCCCTTGAGTCTTAGTGATGAATTTGACTGAGATATCCCTTTTAAAGCTAAATGTTCCAAAGTTTCTCATTCTCTGCATAATGTCTGACCATGGACTTCTTTATTTGCCCCCATCTGCTGTAAGAGAAAGCTTCTTTGATGATGGATGGGCAGGGCACTGACTTATGAGTATGTAGAATGTCACCAGGTGTAATTTAATTGCTAATATTAAAAAAAACAGAAGTACTTAGTTTTATCTAGTTTTATACCTCCCCATTGGTAGTATGTAGTATACTTCCCTATACCAAAGATGCTAGCTATTAGAGGTAAAGGCTCTATGTGGCCAACAGTTCAACTTCCATATTAAGTGAGTTTTACAGATCTTGTTTTCAGCAATGTCAACTTACCATGAGTTTGTAGTGAGCTCTTTAGAGTCTTGGCAACAGCCTGGATTGTTTGGGGGTGTCTTTGGAACTCTTTTGTCCTACAACTCAATTATATATAACACAATCTCAATCCTGGAAAATTCATTTGGTAACAAGCAATGTTCTGTGGGTCTTTGTCTCCCCCATTAATTGGTGATTTCATTTAAGTCACCTTCATATATGTATTTTTTAGGAAACTTCTATTATATTAGGTTTCCATACTACCCTTCAAATGGCCCTTAGTTTTGGCAATTTTTCCATGTATTCCCTTCCTTAGGCCCCTCCTCCATCTCTGTCTCTCTCTAATTGATTCTCCCATTCCAGTCTTTATCTTCATATATACATATTGTTCTCTTCTATTTTCCTTTCCTAGGAAGATCTATCTGTCCTTCCCAGTTCCTTACTCTACACCTAACCACTTTGTTTGTATGGATTGTAGCTGGGTTATCATTGAATTCATATTTACATACAAGTGAATATGTACCATGTATGTGTGGGTTATTTCACACAGAATGATTTTCTTTTCTAATCCCATGCATATACTTGTTAATTTCATGATTTCTTTTTTTACTCATCTGAGTAATATGACATTGTGTAAATGCGCCACATTTTTTTATCCATTATTCTGTCATGACATCTGCATTGTTTCATATTTCTGGCTATTATGAAAAGAACAGGATGTTCTCTGTGGTAGGATAAAGCTTCCTTTGGTTAAATGATCAAGAATTGTATAGCTAGATCTTGAAATACATAAATTCCCATTTTCTTCATAAACCACACACTAATTTATATATTGACTGTATAAGTTTGCACTCCTACCAGCCATAAGTGCACATTACCCTTACTCTACATCTTCACCACAATGAGGTGTCACTTGTGATTTTGATCTTAGCCATTTGGACATGTGTAAGATGAAATCTCAAAGTAGTTTTACATTTGTATTTTCTAGGTCACTGAGGATGGTGTACTCTTATTTGTTTCTCAGCCATTTGAGTTTCCACTTTTGAGAATTCAATTTAGATTTGTATCACAATCTTTAAATAAATTAACTATATTATTTATTTACATTTCAAATGTTGTATCATCCCAGGCCCACTCCCAGAGTTTTTTCCCCTATACCCTTCCTCTTTGCCTCTCTAATACTATAGAGCAACAGTGCACCCCATTTTGAATTGAGTTGTTTTTGTGATAGTTTTTTGTTGTTGTTCTTTATTATATTTTGGCTAGTAGCCCTCTTGCAGATATATAGTTGGTAAAAAAGTATTCCCATTCTCTAGGCTACTGTTTTGTCTGAATGACTATATAATTTTCAGTTTGACAGGATCCCATTTATTGATTGTTGATCTTAGAACCTGTGCTAATGGTGTTCTGCTCAGAATGTCTTCTGTTGTGGCAATGAATTTAAGGCTATTTTCAACTTTCTCTTCTATCAGGATCAGTGTATCTGGTTTTATGTTGAGGTCCTTGATCCACCTGGACTTGAGTTTTGTGCAGGGTGACAAATAAGATCTATTTGGAGTCTTTAATGTGCAGACATCCAATATGACTAGCACCATTTATTGAAGATGATGTCTTTTTATCGTATGTATATTTCTGGCTCCTTTATCAAAAATATCAGGTGTCCATAGGTGTGTGGATTTATGTCTGGGTCTTCAATTCAATTCAATTGATCAATATGTCTGTTATTGTAGCAATGTCATGCTATTTTTAATATCATAGCTGTATAGTAAAACTTTAAATTGGGGGTGGTGATACTACTAGAAGTTCTTTTATTATTCAGTAAAGCTTGGGGATATCTTAGGGTTTGAGATTGTTTGTTTTGTGTGTATGTGTGTGTGTGTGTTTATGTGTATGTGTGTGTTTGTGTATATGTGTGTCTTCATATAAAGCTGAAAATTGTTCACTGAAGATTTGTGAAGAATTCTATTGGGATCCAAAATCCTTTTCAATATAAGATTTATGTTTTCCTCACTTACCACACAAAGTATGAAATTATGTAACAGTATGACAATTTTAAAGAATGTTGTTTACCAGTCTGTATTAGGCTTCTTTTTGAAGTGTTAATGTTAGGAAGCAGACATCTATTAATTTTCTCTCCTTCTACCCCCATCTTTTTGTTACTTTAGACAAACAAAGGGGATGCCCTTGCCAACCGAGTCCAGAACACTCTTGGAAGTTATGATGAAATGAAGGATCTGCTATCTAACCATTCCAGCCAGAATCATCTAGTGGGCATCCCAAAGAATCCAGTGCCCCAAACGCCAATCAATAAAAGTGAAGCAAGCTTTTATCCAGAACAAAAGAATCGAATGATCCCATCTCATCAGGAGAATATCCACTCCTCAGCACCGATGCCTCCACCTTCAGTTGTGATACTGAATTCCACTCTAATACACAGCAACAGAAAATCAAAATCTGAGTGGCCACGAGATAATCTCAATACAAGCCCTGCACAAGCAAGCCAGGTCAGCAGTCAACCAAACAAGATGCAGACAGCCACACAAGACCCACCTCAAACCCGATTGGAAGACTTCTTTGTCTACCCAGCTGAGCAACCCCAAATTGGTACAGTTGAAAAATCTAACCCATCTGCAAAGGAAGATAATAACCCTAATTCGGGTGGAGAAGATGCTTTCAAAGAAATCTTTCAGTCTAATTCACCAGAAGAATCTGAATTTACAGTGCAAGCGCCTGGGTCTCCCTTAGTTGCCTCATCTTTATTAGCTCCCAGCAGTGGCCTTTCTGTTCCAACATTCCCACCAGGGCTTTACTGCAAAACAAGCTTGGGACAACAAAAACCGACTGCATATGTAAGACCCATGGATGGGCAGGACCAGGCAACTGACATCTCTCCAACACTGAAGCCTTCCATTGAATTTGAGAACAGTTTTGGAAACCTCTCTTTTGGATCACTGTTGGATGGGAAACCCAGTGTAACCAGTTCAAAGACCAAACTGCCAAAGTTCACAATCCTGCAAACAAGTGAAGTAAGTAATCTTTAAGGTTTTCTTTTATTTCATAGTTGGGTTTTCTATTCTCCATTATTGACTACTTTCAACCTATTCATTTATCTTACTGGATTGTGTGTATAGATGTCTTCAAGGTGAGTTTGATACTTAATATATGGTAACTTGTGACCCAAATAAGCAACACATTGTAAGTTCAATTAAGTCTCCATAATTTGTAATGATGAAATACATGGTTGAGTTGAGTGAATGAAATAGGGTAGTTATAGAATGATTTTAGAAAAATTTTCTGTAATAAAATTATGTACAACATGAAAGCATTTTCTAGAATGAATGCATTCGATTTTTTCTTTGAAACAAGACATCACATAGCACAGGCTGGCATCAAATTTACAAAGAAAAAAAATGATCTAAAACTCCTGATCCTTCCACCTCCACCTCCTAAGTGTTCCAAATACATGCACACAACAATACTCAGGGTCTAGCACCAAAGACATTTAAAATAATTCTTTCATGTCTTGTGAGTCTGTTTAGAGAAGTATTATTTGGCAAGGTACTGATATTACCTTCTTATCCCCCAGTCTTCTTTCTGGTGTCACTTTCTTCCACAGTTACCCACACAGCCTCTTTATAATTACCTCTATCCTACTTGTATGTCCAACCAAGTCTCACTGTGGTTGAAATGAATAATAATTTGTCTAACTTAAGGACTATTGCCTGTAAATGAGAATTCCAGTGGGACCATAGCCTCTTGAAAACAAATAGGTAATGACAGGCCTTATGGATTCTGAGTAGACGACATATATAAGGCTGCCCGTGAGATAACCTTATATAAACAGCTACCCACTGCCATTTCATTTCATTTTTGATAGTGTCTCATATTGGGATGATTTTGGTTTTTGTATTATTATTGATGAAGTCTTGTCAAGATTACACCTACATATCTCTCGATTCTGTCTCCACTTCTCTACACCCAATGCCTTTGTCTGTGGATTGCTGGAACCTTTCCTAACTGAACACTGCCCTTCTGTCTCATTTTTCTTTCAGTTGTCTTTTTATACAAGTTAGTCTCTTCTTTTGATTCTTCGATGTATTGTCATTACTAGCAGAAAACAAAGTCAAGTATTCTTAGTTCCATCTCTAAATTTTCACACTTTGACTTGACTTTTCCTTTCTGGTATAAAGGAAGGTGTTTGGTAGAAAATATGTATTCAGCTATACTTAATTGTATTTTTTGGCCTGTTTCTTACTCTGTTCTATTCTTATGTAGTCATCAAGGAATCTTAATTTCTTCAGCACGTCTTAATATTGGGTTTTAATATAACATACCTAAATATGGATATGCTTTGAAAGAAGACGACAATAAGAGGAAATTGAAATATCCTTTGAAGCTTCCCTTGTCTTAATATATACTACTGTTCTCTCCTTACATTGCAGTAGCATGATACAGGACTGACTTGCAAGTAGTAGTGCTCTATAAAGCAGTATGCTATGCTGTTCTATGACTCATTAACAAAGTGACAGGTCACACATCCAGTGCAATCCATTCCATTGTAAACCTCACTTTTATCATTCACAAACTAGCTGACCCAGACACAGAAATAACTTCATTGTTTTTCCTCAATATTCCAACACACTGAAAAAACGTACATTTTATTTTTTTCTTGAATATTTTATTTATTTACTTTTCAGATGTCATACCCTTTCCCTATTTCCCCTCCCTAGAAACCCCCTATCCCATCCCCCTCCTCCTTTATGCTTTTATGCCATTTTAATTACAAGCATGTATTAAGGTCAGTTCTAGGTTGAGTGTCTAGCAATATAATAGTTCCAAATAGTCAAGGGACAAGCAAGACAATAAACACAAATAGTCAAAGAACAAGCAAGGCATTAAACCCAATTATGTGAACACTCCCATGATCACTGTTTCTAAGGGGTTATCAGGATGGCCAAAATATCTGAGACTATTTCCCTGTCCTAGCCCAAAGTCATTTTCATGTCTGAAGCCGACTTCCTTGTTCTAGCCTAAAATTTAGATTCCTGTCTGAAATTACTTCTTTGTTCTAGCCTAAGATTTAGATTCCTACCTGAAATTACTTCTTTGTTCTAGCTTAATGTCAGATTCCTGCCTAAAGCCTACTTCCTTGTCCTTGGCCAATGTAATGTTCCTGCCAAGCAGCTCATTTCCTTGTTCTTGGCCCATGTCAGATTTTTGTAAGCTACCCCAAAGCCTCTCTCCCTCTCCTCCTTTTTATTTCATTAACAAGACTGAGTCTGTCTTAGGTCATTCTGACAAGAATACCTTCCTTACTCATGTACATTTTCTGAGTGAGCTAGCATTATCTCTGGATATGATTGTCCAAGGAGCAACCATGTGCATGCAGCCTAGTGATGGTTCAAATTGACTCTGGTTTATCTTTGTCTAGAAAATGGGTCAGCTACAATAAAGTCATGATCAGTGAAGAAGGTGTTTATTTTAAGGTAGAGGTCTCAGAGGATTTCAAATGAGGGAAGAGTGAAATTTAGGGTCCTAAGATCAAGAGGATAGACAGATTAGAGGGGCAATGTGAAACAAAATTAGGAGGAAAGAAATTGAGACCTTAGAGATCCCAACAGAGAACTTAGAAGGCTGTAGATTGGAATGTGCACATAAATATAGACATGGTAGAGCATTATGGAGCTTTGAACCTAATGAAATTTATGTGGGTAAAACTCTGAACAAGTCTGAAAATTTACCCTATTAAATCTTGATGGACTTTTCAATAGCACCTAACATTAGAATTCAGTTCTAGCTCAGGCACCAAAAATTTCAGTCACTGAGTTCTGGATCTCTAGTCATTATAGCTATCTTTGATGGCTTGCAGTATTATTTTGAATTATTACTCTGAAATCTTATCTATAGAGCAATTTCAGTATTTCTCTAAGTATTTGCAGTTCTTTCCCTGGCTCTAGTGACAGAAGCTGACACGCGTTAGTGAAGTTTATTTGGCCTGGTTAAGGAGCAGGGACAATTAAATGATACCACTCATACCACTCAAACTCAGACATATGCAAATAATCAGATATGATAATTTTCACATACTCAGAAGTTAAAGTTGTTTTTTAAAACCTGACGTGTATGTGTGTGTGTGTGTGTGTTTGTATGTATGTATGTATTTGTGTCCATATTAATTTAGGTCTATAATTATTGGGGAAAATTTTATTTCTCATTCATAAAACTTTCTTCACTTCTTAAAATTTCTACACTACATTAAAAAGACCAAATATACAACCAAATGTATGGCAAAAGGTCAGCTGTCCAATTAGGGCTTAATGTTTAAGCAAATAATAAAAACACCATGTTAAAAATTTATTATCATTTTATGCCACCAAAGAAGAGTAATGTAGTATATAGTTGAGTACAGAAGAATTTTCTAGAAAATGAATCTGAAAACAATAAAAGCTTTATTTATATCCAATGGAAACTAAAAGTTGTTTGTAAATTATGTTTTCTTAAAAATGAAATTGTTAATAAATAGATCTTTATACACGATTCTATTACAAATGTTTTTAGTTTTATTATACTTTATTTTATTTTACATTTTGCATTATGATGAATGTATGCTCATGTGAATAGCTTTGCATTTTGCTACAATTTCAATTTCTTACTTGTGTTGTTTACAAATGAGAGATCCAGTATCTCACGGTAAGTGTCTCAACATTTTGAGAGCATAGCACTAACATAGAAAGTACCAACAGTAACAACAACAATAAACAATAATAATATTTATCTTGAATGTATAGGCAGTGTGACAATCAGTCATAATACATTTATCTACTATACACTTCAGTTTCTCTGACTTAATAGATAATCAGGGAACTCTAAAAAGCCAAAATGAGACTTCTTATTGGTTGTCCAATATAATATGGTAACCCTTGATACCATATATATACCACCAACAAAAATAAGCACAGTAGGTCGTATTATGTATTTGTCACACACATACACAGAGATAGATATATGTAGTGATAATAAGCAAAGCAAACAACACTATCAATTTATGAATAAAGGGAATGGGAAGGGGTTGGAGGAGGAAAGGGAAGAGGGAAAGTGATGTAAGTCTATTTTAATTTACAATGTATTTTACAATTCCACCAGGAAGTTCTGAGTCACCTGTGTTTGTTCTCCACTCCCTTATAAGAAAGAACAGCATATTTCTTCTTTTCTAAACTGCAACTCTTCTGCTATGAGATATCTCAAAGCTCTTGCCAAGAAAAAACCCAGAAAGCCTATTCCAGTGTGTATGCCTGCTGCTCATCCATTTCATTTCTGCCTTCTTTTGCCCATTAAAACTAATCAAACAGTGATACTTAGAAACACTGGCATTAACACCATTTTGGTGTCCTGATTTTTCTCTCTCTTGTTTCTCCAAGTCCTACTGTTTTCTCATATGCAACATTTTCTTTGGAATATAGTCACCAGCTCCTGTGAAACTATTAGCCACATCAGCCTTTCATTTCTCAAAGGACTGTTGCTTTACATACACTACTCTTGATGTTCTTTGTTTTTAAATCTGTTGTCATGGCTCATATTTTTTTGTGTGTGTGTGATTGAAAATTATTCAAAAGATTATTTAATCCACATTCTGTAATACAACTTCAAGTGTGTTGTACAAATGTAAATGATCATCATTACTAATGATAAAACTTAAAACATGACAGTTTATTCAGTTTAGTGATTCTTCAGGAGAAAGTACAAAGCAAATATTTCTAGGAGAGACTATGTGATATAGTCACAAAACATGATTTCAATGAGTTATGCTGGCATATGGGATCTACTGGATTGTCTTGGTCTGCAAATTTGACAGTGTTTTTTACCTTTCTGGACCTCCTGTCATACAAGATTATACTGGTTCCCTGGTGAGATCAACTTGTTTCTAGATCACTGAAGGTGCATTTCTCCTTGTCAGGTAAGCCTAACTTGATTTTGTTTGTAAAGTAAGTTTGGTCAATATATTCCAGTTTTCCAAGATTACCCACAT